TTCGTTTTTCAAATTAACACATAAGCAAAGTAACCAATCCATCCAGTTTTATTGCTCAAAATGGCGTAATTAACAGGTAATTTGAAAGTTGAGGGACTAATTGCGCAAAAAAAAACTTGAGTGACCAATTCGGAACAAAGCCAAAAGTTAGTTGTGTTACAGTGTCAATTTCCCAAAGTTGTTTATATAATATTATTTATGGAATTAACCCTAAGTGTATCATTGTTGCTCTCACATCTAATGTATTATTTTGTGAGTATCATGACATAAACATTTGCACTTAAAGACACAATGAGCGGTTTTTTTAGTTTTCATTTTTCAAGGTTGGGATTTAGTTATTAAATATATTGCGTATGTCAAACACCTGTTTGATAGGACTAATCCACACAATAAAATCATGAGAGTTCTTCATTCCTTTAAGTTATGAGATATCAAAATGGTCATCGAAACTACATAGTAGATCTTCATAACAGTACAGTGACATTGATGGCTATTGGGTCAACCACAAAATGGGTTGCCTCTTCCTTCTTCTTTTTCTTAAACATTTGAATTGAAAGTGATGGCTTCGTTTTTGGGATCCAGGTGGAGCAATGAGCATGATCTCTTGAATCGTTTCCATCTACTCTTAGATCACCTTGCAACCTCTCAATTTCAATGGTGTTGTTCCACAACTTCCATCTTGACACGGTGTGTTGACATGAGATTGTCCTCAATGACATTTGGAGACATATATGATACACTCAAAACTCACGGATAACAATATCTACTCTTTTGAGAATTAATATCCATATAACTAGTATATCAAATCTCAACTTAATCTAATTATAATGCCTAAAAAGGGTAATATATCCTCCAACTGATCATAAGAATAGCAATCCTATTGAGAAAAGGAAATATATACTTAAAAAATTAATAAACAAAACTGCAAAAATGGTCCCTGTGGTATGCATTTTTTCTGAGCTTTAGTCCAAACCTCGGCTTTTTTGGCTTCATGGTCATTTTGAGGTAGTTTATATGTGGTTTTGGTCCCTCGGTAAACTGAAATGAGTGTAATTCCCTTCTGATAATTTTTTTTTATGTTTTTATTATTAAATTAAAATGAAAAAGAAAATATTTAATTAACTTAGGCCCACATCTCTCTCTCTCTCTCTCTCTGTGTGTAACTAAAATCGATGGATCTTTGCCATCTCTCTCTCTCTCTTAGAACCTGTAACTAAAATCGATGGAGCTTTCTAATTCTTTCTTGTGCATCTAATTTCCCATTTAACACCTCTAAAACACAAAGAACAAACTTTTCAATCAAGTCTTCTTCGGTCAAATCAAGAACCTCAAGGCTAAATACAAATCCATTGTCATACACAGTAAGAACAATAAGAGCATATGAGAATAGCATGATGCCAAGTTTTGCCAGAAGTACATCTTTGAAAGATCCCACCTTATCACCCTTCTTGATGAGCTCAACATGGGTGATGATTTTCACAGTATCTTTGTAATCTTGGTGGGAATGTTTAGAACCTGGAAGAAAGGGGACTGAGATGGATCGAGACTAGTGTTGTCGGGTGGAACAACCACATTCACCGGAGCTCTGACCTTGTACTTGAAAATTTCTTCACTGACTTCCTTCAAGTTTCCCTTTATGAAGATCAGTCCAACATTCCCAACAAATAGATGGATTAGATTCAGGTAACCCCTGTTTTCATTTTTCTAGGAATGCATCTTGATTGAGTGTAGTTTAACGTAACCTCCGATGAGCCCCCTTTCGTCTTTCTTTTTCTCCGTCACAAACCTAGACGCCTCCACAGTCCTGACTCCTAATTTCATTTGGGATTTGGTTTCGAATGTAGGGAAGAGCACATAATCACGATTAAAGGAAGAACGAGGGATATGGAAACCCGTTCTTTTGCGAGATGGCTTTATACTTTATATGTTCATGTGATGATTTCACTTCATGTCTTCAGACTACTAAGTATTCGGTCGTCACCATCGGTGGTGGTGGTGGAATGTTTTGTTCTCCGTTTCCTCCGGTGATGGTTAGTTGTATTCGGTCATCACCTTCAGTTGTAGGTTTAGAAAAAGGGGTAGAAACAAAGATAGCTTAATAGAGAAGGCCACATGCAGATCTAAAATTGAAATAGAAATGGAAATGGGGGAAAGGAAATGAGAGAAGGTGAGGTCTCTAGGTGTGTGTGTGTGTGTGTGTGTGCGAGAGAGAGAGAGAGAGAGAGAGAGAGAGAGATAAGGTGGGCCCTCTCTTTATTTCTCAATTATTAAAATAGATAAATATATATTAAATTAAAAAAAATGAAAAAAATGAAAAATAAATACGTGAGGGGCATTACAGTCATTTCAGGCCGCTGCTTCATTTCGTATAGTGATAACGCTTTCTCTTTCTTAGCGCTCCGCCCCCCTTGTATAGTAAGGGGAACTTTGGTTGCGCGGCTTTCTCTTATACTTATAGGGGTCTATTTTCTCTGACTTGACTTAACTTGATAGGATCGGAAAAAGGTCTGACTCTATGGTAGCCGACTTGATTGAATTTCCCTTAACATTTGTCGAGGGACCAAATACGCATCCAAACTAGGCCAAAAGGACCGCCAATCCAAAAAAGTCGAGGTTTGGACCAAACCTCAGAAAAAATGCATACCATAGGGACCAATTTTGCAATTTTGTCAAATTAATATATAAAAAAGACAAAACTTCATAAATGGTCCCTGTGGTATATGAAAATATGAAGATTAGTCCCTAAGTTTAAAAAACTCACAGATGGTCCTTGTGGTTTCAAAACTTTTGATGTTTGGTCATTATGCTTCACTCCGTCAGCTTCCTACCGTCTCTCTTAGTTTTATTCTAAATAATTTCAGTGATTGTTACCATACCCACTGCTGCATATGGAGGCGTTCAATCCTCATTCACATCCATATAAAAGGATGATGCCACCAAAAGATCACCTAGAAACAATTTTGGTTCAGTGATCCTCCGATTTCAGCAATTTTAAATACTCACCACACATCAGATGGTGTCGTTGATCCATTCACATCCACCTACGTCCGCAATCACCACCACCCTAGATGTCGATCTTCATCCTTCCGCATTAAACCACCCACAGTCGAAGGTCTGCTCAATCGCCGGAAACCATCGACGGAAATCCGAAGGCGTGGAAAACAGTGACAGTGGCGGTTTAGTGATACAAGAGAAATCAAGAAATTCGATTACATAGGCACCTGTTTTACTCGTAATTGACTCTCTTTCATTCTGTCAAGAACAGGTGGATTGTGCCCTCTCAAGAACCCTAACCAAAAATCGGTTTCGATTCCAGGTTCCTATATATCGTCCTACACCCAAGCTTAGTTGCTATATGGTGTCGTCTGTTTTTAGATTATTAGCTTTATGTGTATATTTTCATTTTCTTTGATTATACATCTATGTTTATTGAGTTCAACTCCAATTTGGATTTCAATTAGAAGTAAAAACAAAGATTTCATGGTGATCTTCTTAAGTTGCACACCAATTGTTTGTAGAAATACCCTAATGACATCAATTTGTTCATGCCCTAAGCTGGTTGTTTCTTGTTTCACAACTTCACCATAACAAAGATGATGATCGGATGAAGATGAACATGGTAGAGAGAGATGTTTAAGTTTATGTATGTGTTTTTGAGAGAGTGAGATATGAAATTAGAGCTCGGTTCCATTTTCTTTGACAATTTTGCTTCACCACTTGACATATTTGGTGATCTTGATGATTTCCAGCTATGTGGATTTAAAGATAACGAATCCTATGAATTACTTGGGATTTGGACAAGTTGAATCGTGATGAACTTGCTTGAATGAACACACTGAGGGTGGATGAGCCATTGATGAACGAACAACTGCTTAATATCGCGTGCTTATAAATTTTGCAACAATTAGAAGAGTTTTTCAAGGGTTTTAGAGAGAGAGAGAGAGAGAGAGAGAGAGAGAGAGAGGTGGGACCCTTTAATATTAAATAATTATATTTTTTCTTTTTTTTTTAAATAAGGCAAAACTTCATAAATGGTCTCTGTGGTGGTGAAATGATAGAATTCCACTTCACTTAACGGCCAAAAGCTAACGGAGTTAGCGAAAATGACTATTTGTTAAAAGTTTTGAAAACATATGGACCATGTGTAAGATTTTTTAAACTTAAGGATTAAACTTCAGATTTTGGGATACCACAAATACCATTTATGAAGTTTTTTGTCTATAAAAAATCCTAGGAAAACCATCACCAATGAATATAAAAAAGAAGCGTAAAAAGGATCAAAAGGGCGGAATGGTCTACGACTACATGCTCAATTGGCAATTGCTCATAGGATCCCTAGTGGACCAGATCAAATTTAAGCCCAAATAATATGAATATACCCATAACTGATGGACCAAATCTGCTGCCCCTTTGATTTTGATACCCTAGGCCGTTGCCCAGATCTCCCTGGGCTTGGGCCGGCATTGCTTTCTTTGAACATAATCAATCTACTTCTTAAAAATCTCATGTAGGTTTGGAATTTAAATGTCTATTGCATTAAAGACCATGAATATGTGAGTTACGATTACCATACTCGCATGTTTGGCATGTTTAGAATCACCGTGTGCTTGTTTATAATGATTACGTTAAATAAACATTCTCGCTACTTGCTAGTAAATACTAAATATTAATTTGTGTTTCAAAAATGGATTTGGCATATCAAACACCAAATTAACAATCACTTCGTCAAACTAAAAGTAATTTGACAACAGTTTGATGCGAACAAGACATAAGTAAGTAGACAATAAAAATGGGCCAAGTAAAATTTTTGAAATCGCAAAAAGAAATCAGTATATTACACTAAACTATGGGATGATTTTTGTAATTTATCCTAAAATTAAATTACGTAACCAACTAATCATGATTTTTGTAATTTGCCTAGTGGATCAGACACATGAATTAATCATACGATTAGAATATATATTTTTTTACATTAAATTCAATATGACATTTGAATTTGATTATGGATGAAGAGAAAATGACATTGTCGTTTCCGTCTTAACCTCCACCGAGTGTCTGGATCTTTTCCGGCGGCTATTCCGATTCACCACCGCGTCAGCAACATCTTGCTCCCTCTGATTCTTCTCAATTTCCAGTGGAAAGTTCAAAATGGCTTTTCTACCACGCATATTAAACGCAGCTCTATCATAAGCCTTTGCACCTTCAATGGCGGTGTCGTACGTGCCTAACCAAATCCTTCTTCCACTTCGACATGGATCTCGGATCTCGGCGGAATACCTTCCCCACGGCCGCCTCCGGACGCCTCTGTAGTGTCCTTCATCCTCCCTCTCCGGCTTCATCTTCATTGACGGATTAACTGTTGTTTCCATTACATCAGGTTTGAACTCAAAAACCGAAAAATTAATGGAATCAAATACACTAAAATGACAGACATCATCAGGGGTGTTGTTGATTTCATTGAAGCTGAGATTATTAGAAACTGAAGATGATGAACTCCATGAGGTGGAAGAATCACAAGAAGCGGTTGTTGTAGACCAATTTAGGTAGTCAAAATTTGAGATGAAATGGTCGTCTAGTTCAATATTTGATAACGCATCTACAGGAGGAGGAGCGGGGATTTCGAATTCATCAAGAAGGTGTTGTCTAAGGAGATCAAGTGTGGAAAATTCGGCCGGTGTCTCCATTAAAAACTGACTTTAGAGCTCAAATGATGATGATGACTGATGAGATAGAGGGAAGAGACTCTGTGTGTGTATATATAGAGGGAGATATCGTCGTCATCGACAGAAAAGAGACATTGATAGGGTGCTTTGTGGCGTCGTGGGGGAGGATAAATAATAGGGGCTGCTAAGGTTGTATTTGTATGTATTTTACTTAAAGAAACAATAAAGTATAATAGTAGGGCCCCGGCTGCCATTGCAATTTGTATCTATTTACCAATGATTTGGCTGCTTTGTATTATATTGTAGTGCCAACAAATAACACCTATTAGAAATTTAGAACTCCACATGTTTTTTTGAATAAGTATTTTAATACCATTTTATGAATAAACCAAAACTTTTAATAAACATCTGCAATGGAAAAGTTTTTTAAACAAACTTTATTTAGAGGTTATATCAATCTTCATTTATAAAAGTAAGTTAGCAAAATATTATTAAAATTATGAAACAACTCTATTATTAAGTTCATGAACTTACAAACAATATTTTAATACGAAACAATTTAGTTTTGTTTTTACTTGATTGTTTAGGGTCTCTCTTGTAAACATTGTGCTAATATATCGACTATAATGCAACAAACCCTAACGTGTTTTTCAAAATAGCAATCATGGTATCGAGCTTAGTCGTGTGTGGCTTCTGTTGATCACCACACAACCTGGAAAACTATGATGCTTTTTTTTCGGCTATCGGCGGTCTTCTTCTCCTGCCGTCACTACAACTCTTTCAGCTGCCATCTTCTAGCCTTGTTTTGATACTTTCAGTCATCGACATCGATAAACGCCACATCCTACTCTCTACCAACAGTTGAAGTCATGTCATCGTTCATCTCACATCTCGTGGATCACTTGTCGTTCCTTCTTATTCATCTTACCAACCAGCATGTTTGAGTGGTCCATTCACTACAATCCCTATGATAATGTGAGCTTTCTAACCTTTATTTCCGACTTTTTATTTTGATTTGTACTTTGACTTCTCTTTTTATCTCTATCGATGGATTCGTATACAAGTGGGGCGTCATATTTTTGTAGATATTGTGCAAAGGTGTCAGATGCGTTAGACACGTCACCAGTAATCCACACCTATCTGTGATAATGATGAGGATTACGAGGTAACCGCCTCCCGTATCAAATCTTGGTTTTACACCACTTGTGACATGAACCTTCTTCAAGTCATCTCTAGTGATGTGTACGAAGACTTATGTGACAAACTCGGTGCTTTTTTCTTGAACAATAACACGTCTCAAATGTACGTCTCAAATGTTACAACTTCAAGATCAATTTCGTAACACAAAAAATGTTCCTATTCTATTACCGAGTTTTTTCATTCCCTCAAAAATCTAGTTTATGCATTATCTATTGTTGATTTCCTTATAAGTGAAATTGATATAGCCATGTAGATTCTTCATCCACTCATTCCTTCATATACCATAATATTATTGATGTCATCATAAACACCAAGCATTTTCGGAGGCTAAAAACAGGTTTCTCTTACATGTTGTCGCAAACCGCAACTATCCCTAGTGTTGCATGATGGTAGGTGTGAAAGCAATCTATTATTCCACAAATATACACAGTGGCCCCGGTGTGCATAAACCATCCATGACCTCCCTAGATTCACATTTGGCTACCAGATTTGCAACCTCCTTGATTATGTTTGTGGTCGGTCGAGACTTCCGATCCTTGCACTCTCGTGCATAGTGCCTAGTATATTTACATACAAGGCAACGTCAAACAATCTTAAGCTTTGAGGTTGGGTTAGTTTCTAACAACACGAGTTCTTGAACATGTGTTTTTGGGTGCCAAACATTTTTTGATCTAAAACCTATATTTGTCATTTTCACTAGAACCCTTTCTAATAAGTAAGACATACTTGATCATATTTTACCATGTTTGTCCCCATTATGAGTCGCATCCTAATCGAAGGTGCTTCTATAGATCATGTATGGTAGGGGTGTGCAAAAAACCGCATAAATCGCCCACACCGCACCAAACCGTACCGCATAATGCAGTTTAGAATTTCGCGGTGCGGTTTGCGGTTCGTAATTTTGTTAAACCGCGGTTCAAACCGCACAGCATCGTATATATATATATATATATATATATATATATATATATATATATATATATATATATCTCAAAGTTTCCAATTACCAAATACTTCATACTGTCGCAATATTTATGCCTTTTAAAGGGTATGCAATATAATTAATAAATTTTGGAAGTGTTTAAATGGAATGATTAACAACAAAAGTTATAAATAGGAACAACTAATCAAACCGCATAAAGCGCACAAATCGCCCGCATGAAACCGCACCACATAATTCGGTTTAGAGCTTTCGCGGTGCGGTTTGCGGTTTCCAAAAAACTCAAACCGCATGTGCAGTGCGGTTTCAACTCTAAATCGCACTAAATCGCACCGCGAACACCCCTAATGTATGGTGTAGTCCTCAGACTTGCACATCATCCTCTTGGATAAATCTTTATAGGAGAGTGGTAAGTTTGCAATAATCACAACTACATGGAAGAGAGAGAGAGAGAGAGAGAGAGAGAGAGAGAGAGAGAGAGAGAGAGAGAGAGAGAGAGAGAGAGAGAGAGAGAGAGAGAGAGATATTTATTTGGCATGGACAAAGGTTATTTGCCTTTTTGAGTAGGAAACAACCCCTTTTCCAAATCAAAAATGGTTTTCTGATGAGGTTTTTATCTCGCGTCAGGAGAATGGTTAGCTAAAATATCATGTAGTGTGGGGTTAGGGAGATAAAAGAGTTTGAGGATGACAAGCATGAATTTGACCTTTCAGCTATCGAGTGTATTTCTAATCGTCGAACCAGTACAATTTAACAAATTCTTGGTTGATGGGTAGTTCGGCGAAAGAATGTCTGGTGTCTATGTCTCTAAAATTTTTGTAACAAAAAAAATACTTTTAATATTTTTAATTTCAAATATGGCAATTAAACAATCTAATAAGTAATAATGAGAACTAATTATCAAACCATTACTAATATTAAAAAAAACAAAAAAAGATAATTATTATTGAAAAATAATTATGCAAAAATTAATTTTGTAAATTAGTTATCAAACTATTGCAAATAATAAAGAGGAGCGATAATTAAATATTAAGAATTACTTATCAACTCTATGAATAATAAACGCAAATTATTATTAATATTTTTTTATAATTACAAGTTTAGTCCAAGAATCATATTGATCTTTTGTGATCAAACGGATTATAAGAAAGGTATAGATGAGACCGACTCGTTTAAAAGACAGAATAAAAAAGTAAAACCAACTTCACAATATCGACTTTTTGACAGGAGATGATTACATAGATGAATTCTATCCTAAAATGTAAGAGAGAAAGCGAACTTATTTTGAATCAGATCAAAGCATATAAGAAGTGGCTTGGAGAACACCTTTTGGATTTTTTAGAATTTGAAAGGCAACTACGGTTCTCTATTGCCGTAAGTTTCGACATAAACCCCAAGATTTAATGCATATAATCATTCGTTCCAACAACTATGGGATACACAATTAACTAGAAACATGGAAGAACTCAAGAATTTGAACTGCGTTGTAAGAACCTGAAATTTAGAGAAAGTTGACTTTTAGTCAACTATTGACCAAAAAAGGAGAATGGTCATTAATAAGGAATTAGTGAGAATATGAAGTTATGACTTCATGAAAGTGGCTAAGAAGAGTTTAAGTCACTTATAAGAAATTAGATGGGTAAGTTCAAGAGAAACAATTCATGAGAATATGCATTTTAGTCAAAAGGGTAAAATGAGATATTTTATGATTTTTAGGCCAAGTTTGTGAGTTAATAGATTAAGACATGTATTAAGTCAGTGAGAAATGACTTAAAATATTTGTAGAGTATGTTCCCACCTTCGCATGGATATAAAAATTATAGAAAAAGGGTTAGAAACAAAAAGTTATGCGCGTTAGAAGTTGGGACAAAAGTTATCCCAAAGTTGGAATAGAATCAGCTAAAGAGTTGTTGTCAAACAGTTACCACAACGCGGTGAGTAGATTGCCACGTTGTGGTGAGGGTGGCAGAGAATGCGTTACGTTCTCGTCGTAAGTAAAGGGCAATGTACTTTGACCCACGACGCAGTAGCCAAAATAAGATGTTGTTGTGGGAAGTCATCGCGGCTCGGTTAGAGGCTGGTCGTGAGTTCATGTAACACACCACAGAGCAGTGAGAGACTCGTCGCGACGCGGTGTCACAATAAGACCAAGGGATGTTAAGCCTTCATTCTCGTCATAAGCAACCCCAAACCCTCCTATATATGAGCTCTGGCGATTTGGAGAAGGAAGAAGGATCAAATGGCGATTATGGGTGTTTTGGCTTGGATTGAACATTGAAAACTCGCGAGGTAATCATATTCTCCATAATTAAGCTAACTAGGGCTTAATGACGTTTTGATGAATTAAGTTAGTTATGTAAGATTGTGTTAAGAGAGCTTGTTAGTAATGTTTAATCAAGTGTTTTGAAGCTATGAACAAACTCTATATATGATTTCCAAGGTGAAATCTATATATGTGAAGTTAGGGTTTGAAACCTTTAACTAGTGATTATGTTGAATTGATGCATTGGATGTCAGATTATAATAAATTAAGTAGTATGGGATGTTTACTTCATTGATTGGATTGAATTTAGAAATAGATGATGAAATGCTAGAATTATGATCAATAAAGAACGAACAAGATTATATGTATTATAATCCTATGTATAAGTAGATGATGAGAAAAAGTATTTGTGGATACCTAAGAGATTATAGATAGAGACAGAGAATGATTATATATAGTATAATCATAAGTGTATGTATGTATGTCTAGACATGAATGGTATTGTGTAGAATACATATATGTTAATAGACATAGATAAAGAATAAGTACTTAATGAGTTAAGTACTAGATGTATAGCAGAAGATCTTGTGATGAGATAAAGAGATAGAATTTCCATAGGACAAATATTATGTGATGAGTCACATAATAGAAATCGAGATATTTAGAAAGATGACTCATTTGGGAATGAGGTAGAGGTTCTTTCGGGGACAAGAGTATCCTTCCTTCGGGAATGAGAGAGGTTCCTTCGGGGACAAGAGTATCATTCCTTCGGGAATGAGGTGATGGTTCCGTAGGGAACATAGATAGATGATCCCTTTGGGGATGTAGATAGATGATTCATGCGAGAATAAAGATTGTGTATGGTTAGAGAAGATAAAGAAAAGGTTTCATGAGTGGAACAAGATAATAGAGTTCTTTTAAGAACTTAAAGATAATCTGTGAGGGGTTAAGAGTAAGGAATCTGTGAGGGATTTAAGAGAAGAAAGAGAATGTCAAGGGATCCGTGAGGAATCGAGATGAGAAGTATGTGATGAAGTAAGGTGAGTATAAGAAGACATGTTAAGAGTTAGAAATATGAGAATAACAGAGCATGCGATAAAGAGGAGCATGCATAGAGCATAGAGAAGAGCAGAGAAAGATGAGATGAGATAGAGTATGGAGAGAAATAGAGGTAAAGGCAGGGATAGGTTATGTGTAGAGTATAAGATGAGCCTAAGGTTAAGAAATATAGAAGAATAGCATTGTATGCTATTAGAGATCAAGAGTAGAATATATGATATGAGAATGAAAGAATAGAATGTTATTGTAAATTCGTGACTATTGTCTGTAATATAAAATGATTTTATTTTTATGAGTTAATAGAATTCCGTAAATTTTTAGAAATAACTCTGATTCATAAAGAGATGAGAGAAACGAACTGATTTTGTTATTGTTGGGTGCCATTTTTTGGAGTCTTCTAGAAGGTTCATGGATCTTATCCATCAAGTAAAACATATGGTCGGGTTCAAAGCAAAGTACACCTACAACCACTATATCACGAACCTCGTGTTTAAATTCTAATGTTTCACATCTCTCTCTCTCACACACACACATACACACACATCATTTTTCGTACTTTTTTGGTTTGGCCTAGTCTCGCCTACATGCATGCATTATCCCCTTCTCCCTTCGAAAAAGACTCATCATAAAGTTTTGTTCAACTTCATTCATAATGTTATTCTCATTAGCCTTGTTGCATTTGGTATCTTAACATCACTCCAATGCAACGGTTTTCCTTTATTTATTACACAATCCTTACGCATGTCTCTTTTCTTGGATGATCGAAGAAATGATTTTTATAGAGAAGGAACCAAACTTATTGAACTAAAATGCACTCATCGAACTCGACTCTAAAATTGGGTATGGTGGAAGTAGAGGCGGAGTTGGAGGTGGAAAGCATGTGTTGCTTTATGACGTAGTTATCATCCTTGAACTAGATTGCTCTCATTTTTCAACTATCCTCGCCTCGGGCTCTGGCTCAACATCATGTAGTGCGGGTCACTTTAATTTCTATTTTTTCGTCTAATTATCGACATCATAAGTCGGTGTCAAGTAGTAAACGAAACAGGACAATATCGAAGACACTTGATAATGTCGTAAACGAGGATGCTGTCCTTGACTAAAACGGCATCACTAGGAACAGTGTGGACTTCTTCAAAACCCTGTTTCACTAGTTTGTTAAGTGTTCAATTGCAGCAAGGGCGTGAAACGCTATTTCTCAGTTGTTGGACATAAATTTACCAATTAATATTGGCTTCATCTATCCCTTGTGAGAAAAGTGGCCATTATCTTGTTGGGTGTTTTGGAGATTCAAAAAGGAAGTTTGCATTTAGTTTAATCCAAAACATCAACATACCGGCCTTATTTTGAGTGGATAACTGAGTTTTCTTTTTATGGTATAAGAATAGAAATAGCAAAAGTTGCATTTTTTTTCCTTGAGTTGACCGACTTCAAAACCCAACGAGCATTTTTGTAATTTCTAGCTTTTCGTGGCTTTTGTTTAATCTAATCAGAGTTGTTCAAAAAAGAATTCAAGTGGCTCGAAAATCATGTCACTGTCGGGTCTGGTTTTAGTGATTCTACGTATTTTTTTTTCTCAAGCCACTTAATTTGCCGCTATTCGAATCTTCAAAGTTGGAAACAACCATCAACTTGATGATTAGTTATATCCCGTTGAAACAATAGTTTGGTACTTTGGTTAAATGAGACATCGATTAATCTATAGGTAAGATGTCATGGCCTAAATCCTATTAAACAAGTACACTACCTTCCCCGACTTCTAAAAATTATGTTGTGTGCAGGATTCAAGATAGTGATAATCAGAATAATTCTCTAATTATCTCAAACGGTTTTAATATCAATCTCATCATATAATCTTCTCATGGCTATTCAAGGGACAGATACTTGCAATTTAGTGAGAGTCAGGCAATACAAAAACACATAATTTCACAAATATAAAATACAGGTATTGCATAAACAATTAAACACGGGCAATATTATACTAGTTCAAATTCTTGAAATGTTTCACCAATTCCCTCTTTTTTTCATCTACCATTTCATCCAGTGTCATTCTAGTTCTCCCGTGTCATGGAACCCATAATCAAAATATCAAAAAACAACAAGTTTTTCATTCGATACTATCTATAGCAACCAAGTGTCAACATACATCAAATCTTCCCGTTTAAGATGTGATCTTTATTTTTAATCCTTTCATCTATTTGTCTTCTTACATGTTCAAAGCTAATCAAGTATCTTATCATGAAATCAGATAATCTAAATTATAGATAATTAGTTTATGCATCTGACAAACCAGAACTAAGCAAATCTAAGGAAGAATCAGGCAATTGGCGAACTTAGTTCGAGTTTAAGTTATTTTCTAACTAGCTAATCAAAGTTCGAGCCTCAATGTAGGCGATCTTGGTGTATAATGTGGACATGAACAACGATTCTGCTACTGCTTATGGAGAAAGAATAAAAGAATATGATTCCAACATAACTTCGACTGAAATTCTAGTGAATAATTACTTCGTTACTTTTCCCATATGAAAACTTGACGAACTTCATTACCGAATTTTCATTTAGTTGTAGTAAAATAAATAGAATCAATCAGGAATACTTATACAAATCCAACAATCTACTATTATGTAGCCGAAAAATCATGAATTCTGCCAGATCTTACACCAATCTAGCTACAAGAAGCAATAGGGATCTAATAATAATGACGGAATAATCGATGATAGTTGCATCTCAGAGAACAAACTTATCTGTTCAAACACGCGCCATCACATCGGCTACGGCGGCGGAAGTTGCAGCTCCGGTGAACGAGAAAAACAGTCCGGTTCCAGGGATTTCTTGATCGTCAAGAAATAGATCTTCTGGATCCCTAAACGCGCCGTGGACGCAGATGATCCCTAGCCCTATCAACGAAGCCGACATGAGCAGTGAACCGACGCTCGTGAGAAAGACAACGAACACCGTGAGAACAACTAAGATGCCTAGAATTTCTTTGTCGGAGAAAGTGCGGCCATTGATAACAACCGGTTGATCGGCAGGACGGAAGAGATAAAGGAAGAGCCAGGCGCAGAGGAGAGATACGATCGTGAGTAGAGAGAACGGATGGGAAAGAAGAGAGAACGCGAGCACGCCGGAGAGTAACGTTAGATAGTTGACGCGAAAGTAGTTGAAGTTCTTGCGGATGCGGGATGTGGCGTCGGTGAGCGAATCTGGTTTGGAGAAGGCGGTCCGGTCGATTAGCTCGTACCAAGGGCGACGGCGAGCGAAGGCGCGTCTTGTAGACTCGGTGAGGCGAGCTAGGAAAGCGCGTAAGGCAGGAGTTGCGGAGATTGTCGACGACCAGGCGGCATTGCCGGTGGTGGACGACGGAGGATCTGAGATCGGGAGTGATTGAGTGGAGGACATGGGTGGAAATATGCAAAAAGTTCAGGGGTGTTCTGGTCAGAACGATCTCAAGTTTTTTGACTTTGAGAGGACTCTAGTACAAAGAAGGGGTATATATACCATGGTCACGGAATTGATATTTTACGTCATCTGTAACGCCTTTTTAAGTTTGATGAATGTTGACCGTTGATGGTAAATATGGACGATGAAGATTTGACGTGTTTTCTGATATACGCGTTCTGGTGTTATGATATTATTTTAATTTCATGGCTACTTCTCAAAAAATTAGTTATTACATCTTTATTTTTAAAAAAAAACTCTGTTTTAATTTTACACAATTTTAATAAAAGAATATTTTTCAAAAGAGATTTTCTAATATGTGTCCTATTAATTATAAAAAATATTACCATAATTAAATGTGAAATATATTAATTATGAAGAATATTTTCTATAATTAATGACATTCACATTTAATTATAGTAATATTCACCACAAATATTAATTCAATTAATACTTTTTATATATGTACCCGTAGGATACATGAAAAGCCCTTTCAAAAAAAAAAAAATACAGTGTGTGTTTATAGTGGTTTCATACTTGTAAATATATTGTGCATTAACTTTACATGTAGTTATAATTGATTTATGTATCATAAAAGTCATCACTCACTAGACGATTTGTCCTAGAAGCATTTTTTTCAGGGTGTATTTTAAGAAAGTCATAAAGGAAGCATCACCAAGTAAAGGGATATAAGGATATGGTTATACCTAGAAGTCAATACTTAAAAGACTTCGCGTGCTTTCTTAATATTTTAATTTGTAATTAGTCTTAAATACAGATTGATAAAACTTTATCGTTCTAAATATTTTGTAAAAACGGTCCTAAGTCCTAACAAAAGTTAATGAACTAAGCTTTGTGTACATGGTGACCGTGACGTATGGATGACTGTGATTACAATCAATTAGAGTGTAAGTATATATCTATTGTGATAGAGATGGAGATTCTATTTGAAACATAATATGCTTTGGGTGACTATCCTAAAATTTTACATGGTCATGATTGTAGGTTTGATATTGGTGAAAAATGGCCCTATACTTAGGCTGTTTGGGGAGCTTTGCTTAAAAGTATCGAGCGACTATAAGATAAAGAGGTGGACATTTCTTCTTGTATGTCATGAATTGTGGGTAAGACAATATGCTATATGCATGGGCTTCTTTCAAATTCTTTGCAATGCCACTTATACAACTTTAATTGTCGGGTCCATTTACCTCTTGCAACTTTTGAAAGCCTTTAGAATTGTGGCCTACCATTTTGTTTTACAAGAATTGATTAATCATGCTAGCGAGTTGGTTTTCAATATTGACAAGTGGCATTTTTTGCAAGGTATTTTGTTCGGTGTGGATGATCTAATGGATCTTCATTGCATGCTTTGTCCTATTTGTGATGCAAACATTGAGAAGACTATTCACCTTTTCATCAAATGCTTAGATGGTGGGATATTACTCGGTTACAATCTATTATGATTAGTGACTCTATGAAGACGTTGGATCCATTGGTGGGTACAAAATCAATTAAGAACAATAAGCGACTCTAATCACTAATTTTACCTTTTATCAATTGGTTACGAATATAAAAATTGCAACTTAACTTTTTTCATTCATTCTTATCACAACAAATTTATTTTGTTAGATTTATACTGGATAGTCGTTTAATCAAAGTATGATAGTTGAACTTGTTGAAACGATTTCAATAGTAGAACTGGTTGAATCTGTTCCAACGTTTAAGCATCAAATAACTCAATATTTGTAAATGTAGTTATATCCAACCAATCAAAACCTCAAATATTTAAACTACTGTTAATACTTGAGAGGTGTAAAAAGTAGTACCAAAAAAAAACAGACATAAAGGAACAACTTTGAAAGTAGCATGAATCACAAATTTTTGGTCATCAGAGAATTCTTGATAAATAACCATATGTATGAGAAGTGCAAGAACTGATACTACATTCTTAAAACAATTTCTTCAAACAACACAAAAATCTTTTCATGGTCCAAACATCCTAATCACCAGAAAAACAAGAACAATCTTCCAACTAAAAAATATGACTTTCAAACTCAAAACTCCATTCCCCACAGCTCTTTTCTAAGCCACAAGTGTGCTAGCAGTGGTTGATTCACTGCCACAAGAAAAAGAAAAGAACATTCTTAAAACAATCTTTTTGGAAGAAACTTGATGATCTTAGACACATAGAAAACAAGAACATGTATCAAGAATACTTTATAGAAAAGGGAAAGAACTTACTATTTCCAGACTGGTGGAAGCTTCTTGGTTTTCTTGTAGTAGCGAGCAAGACGATGAATCCTGCTTTCAACAAGAATGAGTCTGAATTTAGAATCCTTATCCTTCCTGTTCCTCTCCAAGTGCTTTCTAATTGCAACTGCCTTCTTGATCAGGTGGTATAAATCCTCTGGGATTTCAGGTGCAAGTCCTGTCAAATTAGTAAAACAAAACAGATTAATACAAATGAAAGAATAACATTAAGAACACAATGTGATTATGAGAATGATAATATGTTTACCATGTGCTTTGAGAATCCTGAGAATCTTGCTCCCAGTTACGCTATTCACCTGAGCAATACCATGGGAATCACGAAGAATAACACCAATCTGGGATGGGGTGAGACCTTTTTTAGCAAACTTACAGATGCTGTCCTGAACCTGAAAGAGTATTAAGAGAACACACAAACAGTTTCAGTTAGAAAAAACGAAGAATTTATTACATGAACAAACTGAATAAAATCAAGAGAAGATAAACCATGAATTTTTTAGATTCACTTACATCTTGAGGAGAGATCTTCAGCCAGCTTGGCGGAGTCCTCTTATATGGCTTAGCTGAGGCGGAAATACCCTTTCTGTCAAATCACATATCAAGCTAATTAAACATTTCACTTATAAATCAAAAAGCATTCATCATCCGACTATTTCTATATAACCTAAAACTCAATAACGACCACTTTACCAGCGAAAACGACTAAAAGAAGACAAGAAGTTCGAAATTATTCGTTTAAAACATATTCATAAGAATCTAACGTTGACAAAAGGACTTGTTTCACACTCAAAAATCACGATTAAACGTGCTTCGAGGACACGAGAGAGTATCGTAGGCATTTCCAAAAGCAAAACTATACACTTCCATAGCTACCACATACACAAATCTATTTCGAAGATCAAATCAGTACATTTCAATGCTATAGACAGATGGATGAGGAGTTGTTACCCGGAGCTGTGCATACGACCCATGGTGACGGAGATGTGTTTGCCGCTACTACCTGCCTGACTGGTTGAATTGCTTGAAAACCCTAATCTGCGAACGGAGATTAATTGCAAACCCTAGCAGAAGAGGCTCGTATTTACGCTTTAGCGGTTTAGTCTTTAGCAGGTTGGCCCAATTTTCACATGGGTTGAATTGGGCTTTCTAGTTCTTACTCCTTTAATGGGCAATGGGCTTGTCTCAACTTATAAAAGTTTCCTTTTCATGAATCATGATTATATTATCTTGAAATATATAAATTGCTTCTTTTTTATGGAGAAAAAAAAAACGTCATGCATGATAAGATGCTAAAGATGATAAACATATCTAGAACGTGCTATTTTCCTCGTGCATATGATTTTGGTACTTTTATCAAAGAGAATTGAGATTTTAATCGAGTATCTTATTGTTTGGTCAACGTTCATATATATGATTAGTAAGGAGGTGTTTTCGATTGCTTGTTAAAAATATAATGTTTTTTAATAAAAAGATGTTAGGATTAGCTTATATTGTTATAAAAAACAATGAGGTGACGACAATTTGTTCTATGAAATTGGACTTATATAAAATATATTTCATAACTCCAGCGTTACTTATATATAAAAATTTATCTTTTATACTTTCAAATTTTACTTATATAATTGTTATTCAAAAAGGAAATTTTTTTTAATGAATTTGAGTTTAGATGAGTTAACTGAAATATTACAAACATAAATATCTATAAAAAAAATGTATTGATAAATCAATTTATAAAATAGATATTGATGAATCAAGTACGAATGAAATGGTAAAAATAACAGGATTAGTTATATGCAATTAATGAATACAATTGGTTAATGAAACTATTGACGATAAAACAACTACTGTCAATGAATTTAACTTTGATGAGTTAAATCAAATGTCGGAAACATAAATTAACGATAATGGTCACAACCTAGGTAATTGCTCTTCAAATGTCGGAAACATAAACTTGATAGATTTTAGTTGTGGCGCTTCTTTCGGATAATGGCCTTCGGTAATTGCTCTTTTTTTTTTTTTTATCATTTTACTATTTTGTTTATTAGAGACTGCAATACGAATACTTCAGCCCCCACCTTTCAAATTCTACTAACTAATAGTAGTTACTTGTGAATGGTGTTAAAGAGGTGGTTTCAAGTGCATGGAATGAAAAATGTTAAAAAACGATAAATCAGATTTTGCCAACATCAACGTTTCTCATATCATTGAAAGACAAAGAACCAAAAGGTTTTCAAAATACTTACAAATCAAACTTCATTAAAAAACCCTAATCTACTCTCAGAACTATACACTCAACCTATTCTACAAAGATATTCAATAATCGATCAAGCACAATAGATTTATACAATGAAGAAGATAAACTACTGTGAAACCCTAAACGAAAGAAGTTGATATTGAGAGAGAGAGAGAGAGAGAAAGAGCGAGAGCGCTTTGTGTGTGTGTTGAGAATCTCGACTGACTGGACAATACACTACTATTGCCATCAATATATCTCGGATCACGGATATGAACTGGATCTTGGATATTACCCACGAACCAGGATCTGTGCCTCACCTACAATTTGTAAGAAACGAGCCGCAACCTACAACAATTCCATAATAACAGAAATAACTCATTTTAACAAAATTATTTCATGAATGAGAGCAAACCAAGAATTTCAACATTGACACAAATTACCAACACAAAATAAATAATAAATATGATATTGAATGTTATAAATACTTAGTATTTTCAACATCCCCTCAATCGAAATATTTACTTTTTCCTTTTTAAAAACATCAATATGCCCCGTTTTATTTGATAAAAAATCATATTGTTTAAAACTTAAAGATTTAGTCAGAATATCAGCATTTTGATAAAAAAAAATTGATCTTAACCACTTTTAAAACACCATTTGAAATTTTTCCCTAACAAAATGAATATCTATCTCAAAATGTTTAGTACGCTCATGAAAAATAGGATTTAGAGCCAATTTAATTGTAGAGCCATTATCACAAAAAAAAAAAAAAACAAAAAACAAACAAATAATGGAGTAAGACCTTTTATTCCTAACTCAAACAAAATCTTCTATATCCAAATTATTTCATAGTTGATTGAGCCAAGGGCTCTATACTCAGATTCGGTAGAAGATCTAGAAACATTATACTTCTTCTTACTCTTCCATGAAACCAATGAGTTATTAAAGTAAACCATATAACCAGTTACAGATCTTCTTGTAGACAGGCATTTAGCCCAATCTATTTCTACAAAACCTTTTAACTCAAAAACATTAGACTTAGTTAAAGCAGTCCTTTTATTTGTACTATTTTTCAAATACCTTAGTAACCTGAAATCAATTTTCAAATGTGACTTTCTGGATTTATGCATATATTGACTTAGAACCTGAACTGTATAAGAAATATCAGGTCTAGTAATAGTAAGATATATTAAGCTCCAAATAAGCTTTTGTAATTTAGTTTTATTTATCAATAACTCATTATTATTAACAAAATCACAAGAGTTAACAACTATATTAGTTTCCAAAAGTATGGTAACATGCTTGCAGCCAAGCATACCATACTCATGAAGAAGTTCAAGACAATATTTCCTCTGATTTAAAAATAAACCATTATGAATACTAACAACTTCAATTCCTAGAAAATATTTAAGAACACCAAGATCTTTTATTAAAAATTAAGTTTTCATAAAATCTTTGACCTTTTTTAACTTTGCTTCATGAATTCAATCAAAATTATATCATCTACATAACCTAATAAAACAATAATAGAATCTTCAAATTTTCTAACAAACAAAGAATAATCACTAACACTTTGCTTGAAACCAAACATGAATAAGGAAGCACTCTGTTTTTCATTCTACTTCATATGGGCTTGTTTTAATCCATATAGAGATTTAACAAGTTTGCACCCTAGTGTCATTATTAGTGTAATATCCAGGTCGAATAGTCATATATATACTGTTGGATTAGGTGTCTAGGCCAATAACTAAATTGGTATATATTTGAATTAAAAGTAGAGTCCTTTTAGGTTGCCCTCAGAACTAGTAATTGATATAATGACTTTTGGAGAAAGATGTTGATTTATTGATTTATTATAAGATTAATAAATAGTAATAAATGTTTTATTAATATATTATGAGATTAATATATTAATTAGAAACAATATTATTTAATTAATAATTAATCAGAAATTAATTAGAATTAATTTTGGGATTAATTAGATTAATTAAAAGTAGAATGACTAAAGGTGACAATGTTCAAAAATTGAGCATTGAAGGATTCTAGAACCTTCCCACATGAGGGGATGCGGTTTTGGAGGTTCCTAGGGCTTCTTGGAAGCCTTAGGGAGCAAGAAAATATATAAAGGTTATCTAAGAGAATCTGCCTTATCCAACACTCCTTACTCACCTATATAAACCCCTTATGAGGTTCATAATTTCGCCCATCATTCTAAGAATCCTTAGAGCCGAAAATTCCTTTTTCCCTCTTTTCTCCTCTCAAATTTTCTATTGCTAGTGTTTGGGTAAAAACTATTAAAGACATGAGATTTATGGTGCTTGCTTTCTGAAGCTTGTTCGAGAAGGAATTGTTGATTATTTACTACAATAATCAAAAAGTATGTAAACCATAAAACCCTTTATAAATTTTGAAAATAGTAGAGTACTCCTAGGGTTTTTGATGTTCAAATGTTTATTTCAAAACAATAGTGAAAACTTAGATCCAACAGTTTACATGTGAACTTAGGGTTTAAGTTTTTCCACCACATGTTTTTTTGTAACCTATAAAACCTATCATATACGTCTTTAGAAAGGTCACCATAAAGAAAAGCATTATTTATATACAGTTGATATAAAGGCCATGAATTATGAACAGATAAAGATATACCAATGTGAATAGTAACAATTTTTGCTATAGGAGAAAAGGTTTATTCAAAGTTGATACCTTCCCTCTGATTATACCCTTTAGCAACGAGGTGTGCTTTATAACGTTCTACTTCTCCATTTGACTTATATTTAATATTGTAAACCCATTTTCAACCAATAGGTTTCCTATTTTTTGGCAAATTTTTTATATCCCAGGTGTGATTACGATGAAGAGCTTCCACTTCTTCATTCATTGCCTTGACCCGTAACCATGGATTGGAGGATATACAGGCAAACGAACTAAATAAAAACGTAGATAGATTGGAATTTATGATCGAATCACATTTACTTTCTACTCTGAAAAGGGGATCAAATAAAAAAAATGGAAAACTATGTTCTTAAATTAGATCACAACAACAATTTGGATTTAAAATAAAATGCAATAAGAAAATGGGATGTTGATGGAAATGAAGACTCGTCTTTTTTCATGGAATTATAAACAACAAGAGAAAACCGAGAATCAACGATAAGAGATTTTGTGATCCACATGTCATTAAAATTGAAGTTTTGAAAAAACAGATCAACAAATTTTGTCAAATGTTGTTCAACCCCATTCTAGCATTATAAAAGTATTTTTTTTAAATCGTCCTCTGTGACCAGTATTTTCTTGAAGCAGATATGTCATTATCTGAAGTTAAAAAGGCCATTTGGAGTTGTGTTGGTGAGAAAGTTTTAGGTTCAGATGGTTTCACTTTCAAGTTTATAAAAGAGTTTTGGGATATCCTATATCGAGAGCTTTTCAAAGCAATAAAAAAAACTTTGAGGTGGCACTACACATTAACCAAAGATGTAAAACCTCTTGCATCTCACTTTTTCTAAGACTAAAGACTATTTGGGATTGAAAGACTTTTATGTCATTAGTCTTATTGGTTGCTTCAACAAGGTGATTTTCAAACTTATATCTATTGAACTCAAAAAAGTAATTACATTGGTAATTAGAATGTAACAATAGAATTATGTGCATGGTTGTTTTCATCATTGATGGTGCATTTATCATCAATGATATATGTGCTTGGACTAAAAATGTGAAAAAATAGTGTCTTTTTAATATTTTTTTTCAATGAAAGGCTCCTTAATGAGGATAAAGATACATTAGCATTGAAACTATCAAAAAAAGAAAAGAATATGTCATATGCTTTTCAAGGTTGACCTTAACAAAAGTTTTGTTTTTCTATATTGGGATGGCACAAATGAACTTTGGATTCCCAATGGAACATAATGTTTGGTTTGA